AAGTATTATTCTAAAAGCCTTAAAACCATATAATAAAATTAGTTTTAATATTCAACTATTCTTAAATATTTGGTTTAGAAGTTTTAAATTTTGATTTTGAATGCTTCTAATCAATTTTAGTAATATTCATGTTAAATGTTATTCACTTTTAACATGATTTAGAAAATGTGATTAAATTATTAGTGTATTAAGAAAAAAAATTAATTTTAACCTTCAAGATTATTTACGCTGTGCTAGAAATTTGAAATTATTTTTTATTGTTTTTTGTGCCTCTAGTGATATAATGAAGAAGAATTTTCAGAGCTTTTCAATTTTTACAAATGTAAAGGAGTATAAGAATTCATTTATAAATTTTACCTTTTATTATATTTTTACTGATTTGAATGTTAATGTATTTTATAGTTATACTTTCTATTTGATATTAAAATATTTTTATATTATCTTATATATTTAATAATGTTAAAAACCGATCAATCCGACCGAACCACACCGATCCGATTTAAATTGAATTGGTTTGGTTATCACATAATAATGGATTGGATTGGTTTAAAAAATAATAAAATCTGAACCAAACCACACCGCGAACACCCCTAATGGCCACCAATGGGCCACAACAGGGGAATGCCCTTTTCCCATCAGTATGAATTTAGTTTGCATAATATTCTAGTACGAAATTGAGTATCTAATTCCTATTTTGGTGCTATATATTATGAATAGATTAAATACATTATTATTGCATCTAGTAATCTTGGAAAAAAAAATAGCCACGTGACAAGTTCTAGAGATCACAAATTTTCAATCAGTATCATAATGGAGTGTGTTTGAATTGTGATGGGAATGATAAGAACAAATACAGACCTCATTTCATTGGCCAAAGCGGTTCTTGATTTGTCTGAGATGATTAGAAGTGCTAACTAAGTGATGATAAGAACAGCTCAACCATCATGGGAAAAACTTGAATGATTTCTTTCATTGCCAAGGTCACCTTCTTTTTGAATGTTGATATTAAAGGCAGGACACCCTACTCACTGTCAATCACATGGATCAAAATCCTAGAATATGCAGGGATGATTTTACACGAGATATGACTAAAACTTAGCATTTTGGAAGATAATAGATATGTTGGACTCGAAAATAGTAATTCCTAACTAAAAAAAGAGAGCCATGTGTTCTTCCAGGGATACGTCTAGCTCAGCTCCTGGAACTTGGTATCTCACTCTTGTTAGCTCTTCTTGATCTCCAATCTCATCATCATTAGGAAGTTCAACGGCTCTCATCATTTTGACTCTGTAGTTCTTTCTCACTAAAGAAGAGATTTGAACATGCACACTTTTTTGCTGCTGGGATGAGATTACATTTGTGATTGTTATGGCTTCAAGTGCTGTAAATATGTCTGACTATTATTAGCTACTGTCTCTTAATCTATCCCATGAACAGTAGGTGATTCTGACAAGCCATCCTCAGGTTGATGAGGGAGGAACAAGGAAGGGCCGTCTACTTCTGAGCCAGTCATGGAGGACCATCTTTGTTGTGGTCATCAGATCTGGTTTGCCCCTTGGAGGTGGAGATTGATCATTCACAGAAGCACATACTTCAGTGAGAATTCACAATTGAAAGCAACAAAGATAGGGATTTAGGTAAGGAAAGCTAGTTACAAAATATTGTTGCTGAAATTCATTTAAAATAAGAAATATGATAACAATGGAAGGCTAGTTACAAAACTGCGTAGTAGCTTACCAATCCATCTTACATGCTCCTTCCAGGTGCTCCATCTTTACAAACTTCAGAACTTCTCTAATACGTTTACAAGGATCCTCCAAGTTTATGACACATACCTGGGAGAGGGTCAAAATAGTCCACATTCACATACACATGGGAGATTCTCTATTGCACTTAAATACATTATGCAACTTCACCAAAGCAGTGAAAGTTATATGGTTTAGTAGACAGTCAAAACTGAAATAAATTATCAAACAAAATGCCAATAAAGATGGTTGAATTGAAGCATAACTTTATCTAGAAGGTAGAGTAAGCCCTGGTTGCTGTTATAAATTTGAGCTTCTTTTATATGTACCCTTACAAGATATATCAGTTACAGAAAAGTTTTAGCACAGAAAAGTTTTAGCTCAAAAACATGGTGTAAGGTGGATAGTACATAGTTCAAACTATGAATCTTGAATGACTACTGCATGCATAATCTTGTTAAAAAAGGTTGAAGGTAGGCAAAATGGCATGTGAGTTAGAATATATATACCGCAGATGCTTTTGCGAGGCTAAGAACTAAGAATTACACCATAAGACCATTGCATCATGGTGCCACTTGTTTATGATTATTACATCATCAACTCTGTATCCAAAACCTAAATTAGCATTATTGATTTTGTTCCCTGGTATATGTTGTCTTCACCAATATCAATGTGTTTGTTTAAAAAGGAACAAGCTCATAAGAACTGTTCTTTCCCACATCATTTGACCCGTTATAAAAATTAAATTCTGCTCTTAAGAGTGACTGAAGATCAAATGCCAAGATTGGGCATTCAAACAAAGCTATGCCATAGGAATTTTTACTAGAGGCTAAAATAAAAAGAAAGAGCAACCAAATACCATTTTGGATTACATAAATTAGCAGCAATCCAGTTACTTCTCATCACCAGCGTGTTTTTCTAACTCAACACCAATGGCACAAACGCAGCCTGACCACAGAAATGTAACCACACATGCCTATATCCAAGAATGGACATTACAATTTTCTTTTTAGATAGGAACGATCATTGATGATATTTAACCGTAAGTTCAATTAAAAAAAGAACATGAATACGATCCAAAATGTATAAATCAAACTACTCTTTTCTAGTATTATGTGTATCACTAATATGGTGTAAAACAAAGTTACATAGTAATATCTCACAATTTTAGCCAAAATGCTTATTACAATAAAAGTAAAGATGCAGATGTAGGAAAAGAAATACCATAGGAAATAAGACAAATCTTTTCACATAGAATTGAAATACAAAATTACACAAGGAAACAAACATTTCCACTTAGAATTTGACATATTTAAAGTCACAACACGAATAAAATAAAATAGCAAGCCTATGTATATCAAATTGAAAACACAACCATAGAGACAAGCAAATGTGATTTCCTCCGGCTTTCTTGTGGTTACAAAGTCCAACTCCAGCTTTGCTGCCAATGGGGAGAACAAACAAAAGACATTGGAGAAGGAAAGACAAGTGAGAGGGAGATTTGTTGAGATAAAAAGGAAGAAGAACGCATAAAAATGTAAATTCCTACTGAGTTGAATCAGAATCAGAATCAAAAATGGAAAATTGAAGTTACAAAAGGCTTACATTTGCACTGTCCAATCACCAAAGAGCCTGCACACCTTTGCTTCTTAGCTCATCCCAGAGAAACTTACAAAAGGTCGAAGGACATCTTTTGCATTGGATTGGTCCCATTCCAATGATTCCCAGCAATCTTTTGGGTATACCTGAACTTGTTTGAGGGAGGGAGGCTGGCCATTGTCAAGCGAGGAAAGATGCAGAGGAATCCTCTTTAGCTTCTCACAATCACTAATCTTCAAAATCCTGATGGAATCACAAATCAACACACTGGAACTACTACAGATGCTTTTCAATTCGGGCAACTTCTTCAATTCCAAACTCTGTAAATTGGGTAAAGTGATTTTTTCTAGGGTTTCTATTTCTTCGTAGGTCAATGATGAAAACAGTTCTTCCATTTGGTTACAGTCATTAACTTTAATAGTCTCTAGAGATTGGAAGCAGCGTAGCAGCCATCCAAGTGAAAATACTTTCCTTAATTTAGGGCAATTATACACATCAATTGTTTTAAGAGAGAAAAAGGTGGTGGAAGGAGCCGATGAACCAAGCGCTTCTTCATCAAACACGGATTTCAAATTCTCTAACCTCCAAAGCTGCAGATGCTCAAGGGTTGGAAGTGGGTTGAACCCCGACCAAAAAGCACTCTCTATTTTGCCGCAATCCCTAATGTCAATCCTTTTGATGGAATCACAGCTCAAAACAGTACTAAAACCACTACAGATGCTCTTCAATGCAGGCAAATCATGCAATACCAACCTTTCTAACTTGGGTAGAGTTAGTTTTTTTGGGGCTTTTTCTCCTTCTCCATCTTCGGACCATATTACCTCCTCCATTTGATCACATTTTTTAACCTTAATAATCTGAAGATTCTGGAGATACAGCGACAACCCCAGTGGCAATAACTTCTTCATTTTTCCACAACCCACAACATTAATTTTTCGAAGGAGAGAAAAAGTGCCAGCTGGCAGTGGCGCTGGCATAGCAATTGTTTCTACTTTCTCAAACACTGCATTCAAGTTAGGCAAATGATAAAGGGAGAGCAGCTCAATGTTTCGAAATGGCTTTAAGCAGCACAAGGAAACCACAAACTCCAGGCCATCACATTTATCAACTACACAACCCCGCAAGTCGGTTACATTTTGAAAGCCAGAAATGTCGTCTAAGATTCTCACATCCTTGCAATCCAAGATGTAGAAGCCTTGTGCATCGAATGGTAGGCAACTAACCTCCCCACAGATATCAATATCATTGTATAAAATGCATTTCGCACTAATTGGAAAGCTAGCGAGCATTCGATGCACTTTTTCTACTTCTGTGTAACCTCCAACATAAAAACAGTACCCATTTAGCAACTTGCGTTTAGAATTGACAAAGCGACTCATATCATCCACCGTAGAGAACCAACCATGAAGAAATTCCAACTTCCTCAATTTTCCAATCTCCTCCCCTTTCAATGGTATACTCCAATATACTCCTAAATGCTGAAGGTCGGAGAGATTTTGTAGTAATCCATCTGGTATTTCAGATAATTTTCCACCAAGATGAAGATATTTCAAATTGGTTAACATATTGAGGCCTTGGGGTAGTTCTTCAATTGATGTCCCTAAAAGGTCCAACTTTTTTAAGCCTCCAAGGTTGGATAAAGATGGTACCTCTTTTAAGGACTTACAATCCTCCAACAGTAATGTAGTAAGATTCTCCAATTTGGAAACAGAACTCGGCAACCTACCTAGCTTGTAATTTGTACAAAGATCAAGAATCTTCAGCCCAAGCATCTGATCAAAAAAAGCTTCTGGAATTGTTGTAATCTTGATATTGGACAACAACAAGGTTGTGAGCATTGGACACTTGGGAGACAACATGCTTGAAGGAATTTCTCTTATGTTATTATTCATTAGAGAAACCTTCAAAAGATCTTCTTTCCATTCATGCTCCTCAGGTAGCTCTTCCAAGGCCATGCCAGCTTTCACCATGAATCGAGGACTGATATTCAACGCCATATCTCGGAGAAGATCATGCATACTCACACAATCTTCCTTTTTATCTTGTTTAACCAATTCCAACATGCAGTTGTCTATTAACTTCCCAAGAATAACATGGCCCTCACTATTCATTAAGTGCCGAGATCCCCTTCCATCTTCTATAAATCCCTCCTCAATCAAAAACTCAATTAACTCCTCTTTGGGGATTTCAAAATCCTCAGGATATAATGCACAATACAAAAAACAATTCTTGCACAATTCTTCTAAGTGATCATAACTAAATTTCAAGCAACCGAAAATTTCTTCAGAGTTGCTTAATTCTTTATCTGCCATCTCCCATGAGTAACGATCAAATTTTCCTTTCATGGTTTTTGCCACTGTCCCAATAGCAAGGGGTAGACCGTTACATTTCTTCAAAATCTGATTAAAAAATGGTTCTATATCACTTTTGAATTTGGGATTGGATAACAGGGCTCTTCCAACTTTATCTAAGAATAATCTTGATGCTTCATCATCTGAAAGAGGCTTCACAAGGATCACTTCACACTCCATTGCACGAGCAACCTTTTGTTGTATCCGTGTCGTGAGCACTAACTTGCAGCCATTATTTCCAAGTAGATCAGGGATTCCAACATTTTCTGGAGAAAAAGGCTCCCACACATCATCCAGAATTAGCACATAACTGCCCTGCTGCAATTTTTGTGATATCAATTCTGCAAGCTCATCAATTGTATCTTGATCCTCATTCTCCAATTCTATTCCCAATTTTCTTGCAATGCTCTTCTGAAACTTGAGAACATCAAACTGTTTTTTTTGCTGGACAATAATATCAAAGTCTTTTGATACTTTTACCCAAATAACTTTGTTAAATTTGGGTTCTTTGAGTAGTTGGTTGTAGACTTGCTTCATGATTGTTGTCTTGCCCACGCCACCCATTCCACAAACTGCAATTCTTGTAACCTCGTCTCCCCTCAACAGTTGCAAAATTTCTTCTTGTACGTCATCCCGTGCAATGCATTTTTCAGCAAGCTGTGGAACTCCTTTTGAGTGAACATCTACAACCAAACTCTCACCAGCAATAGTGTATTTTTCTCCTTGCTTAAATATTCCTTCCTTCAGTGCTTGAGTCCTTTTATCGAGCCTTCTTGATGAGCAAATATATGTGAAACAGCCCCCTTTGCAGATCAAATCTTCAACCACCTTTTCGTCAGTTTCTTGGTGCACTTTCTCCAGCCAAGCTTCAACTTCCCTATTGGTAGTCTTTCTGGCCTTCTTGAGCTGTGTATTCAAGTTTGCCTCAATGACATCTTGTCGGTTCTTCAGGTCCTTTTGCATGTTTTGGAATTCACTCACATAGTAGTTGTGATATATTTGATACTCGACATATTTCCAAACTTTCGGGCCAATGGCCATCACAAAATCAATGACTGAATTTATGTTCTCCATTAGGGACTCCCTGCATGCATATATGAAATTGTTAGTCAAAGGGTAATCGCGCGTTAGAAACTTAAATGACATTAGGAAATGGATCATACAAATAATTTATAAGAGAAACGACATTAGAAATTAAATAAGGTAAATTAATAAGGACACTTATTCTCAGTCAAGCAATGAATTTTTAGAAATTTCAAGTTACTGTGGCTGTGGTCTTTATTATTTTTTTTTAATTTAGTTTTCATAAAGTTTACAATTTCAAAAAAAAAAAAATAGCATGCTTGATCAATAAATCAATGCTATATTGTCATGTTACCTTCCTCTTTTCCCAAAATAATTTACTGTACTATTTTCATTATACTAAAAAT